TTACTAACAAACTATTTACCTATAACTTTAACACTGTATACCTATACTATGAAAAGAAAACAGGAAAATAAGGTTTTTAAGCTGCTACACAAAATAAACCCATCCATTCATTCCCTATGGCCAGACCACCGTGAACCTACAGAACAAAGGCTGAGATTACTAACATATCTTTAACACTGCATACCCATACCATGAAAGAAAAATACAAACTTTAAACTGTAATTCATAGAAACTAAGAATCACATATAAACTGAATTCCTCTAAACTCTTTCAACCAACTGCCTACTAATCTCACCCCTTTGATGTCTCAAAGGCACCTCAAATTCAACATACCAAAGCCAGACTCACATGTTTACCTCCAAAATCATATTCTTATGCCAATGACAGGCATCTCATGAATGCTATTCTCTTCCAGCAGGATAGGGGAGAACACTAAGAATCATCTTTGTCATTCCTCTCTCTCCCCTTCCTCCACCATTTAGCTAATGTGTCACCATAACCATTTTTTAACTCGTAAATTTAAGCATTTCTAGACTTTGTCTAATTTTCTCTAACTATAGAACACTAATTCAAGCTACCATATTTTTAAAAAAATTGAAACAGCCTCTAAATAGTTTGCCAGGATCTATTCTGCCCATACTGTAATCAGGAGGATGTTTCATACTATATAAATCCGATCTGTTATTCCCCTGCCTAAACCCTTCAGTAGCTTCCCGTTGCTCTTATGTTAACCTCCAACCCGATTAATGTGGTGTTCAAAACTGCCACAGCAATCTCCTGCCTAGCCCTGCAGACTCATCATATATCTATTTGTTCCCTTTGGCTCAGTGAAATTGAGTCTCACCCAACATTGCTCAGTCTCTCATACTTGGCATGCTCTCTCTCACAACTGTATCTTTATATATGGTACTCCCTCCATACTTTGTTTCTGTTCTTCTCTTCCTAGAGTCAACTTAGTGTGAAGACCAAGTGTGGCAGTGAAGCATATTATAGCAATTTTCAAAAATGTACGGGGCTACAATATGAAAAAATAAAGTATAGATGGTCTCTCTCTTTAAAAAAGGTCTTACTATCTCCCCAACTGTCCATCCTACCCTTTTCTATTATGAAAATGTTTGTAGATTTATTAACACCTGGATTCAGAAACAGAATAGAATAATCTACAGCTCCATGAGAAGAAGAGCCACAGTACTGGTCACTGTGATATCACCAGGATCAGTGTCCGGCACACAGTAGGCACACATTATTTGCTGAGTGAAAAAAAAAATACATTTAACTATTAAAAAAAATTAAGAGTGTCTATTTTGTGTCAGGAACAGTGGTACTATAAATACAAGTAATATCGAGTCCATACTACCAAAGAGTTCATAATCAGAACAGAAAACAGATGGAACTATCAGGCTCAACTAACTGTGCTGTGTGTTTTAAGTACTGTGGTAGACAAAGTGCTCAGGCAATAAATAAATTGAATGAATGAATGAATGAATGAATAAATAAATAAATAAATAAATAAATAAATTTGCTTGGAGAATTAGAAGAGATAGGTGAGCAGAACCTGAAAGAGAAAAAGGATTTCATAATTTATAACATTTTTATTGACTTCCTACTTAGCTATGACCTGGGAAAATAAGAGAAAACAAGCCATGCGTCCTCTGTTGTTTTGGTGCTTTATATTCTAATGGGAACAAAAAATACAAATAAATAATATAAGCACTTTGGAGAACTCAGAGTAGGGTAATGGATGAGGGAGTGCCTGCTGGGTATGTGTTTTTGTGCAGGTGGACGCTATTTTTAGGGAAGTCAAGGTAGAGCTTCTCTGGGAAGGCAATATTTGAGAAGAGACCAATGTTAAGAATGAGCTAGTCATGGCAGAATATCTTGGGAATGGGGTAGGCAGGGAGCATTCCAGGCACAGGAAAGAGCAAGTATAAAGGCCCTGAGGCAAGGAAAAGCTCCTAGTAGAGAAACTGCAAACTGGAGAGCAGAACAAAGGTAAAAAGGAAAGTTGTGGTAGTAGGCATGAGACAGGAAAACAAATGGGTGGAGGAACAGGAATCACAGGGCTTTGTAGGTCGTTCTGTAGTAATTGGCAGAAGGCACACCTCTGGAGAAATAAAGAAGACATTCCAAAGAAAGAAAAGGTCATATGCCAAACTATACAGGCAAGCCAAGGTATAGCATGATCTGTGGAAGGTATTATCAAACAATAATGTGGCTGGAAATATACTTCTGAAGCATATGCCTTTATCCTGTTTTTAAAAGTCTTGAGAGGGAGAGAAAGACAGAGTGAGGAAGATATGATGAAGCATTGGACGAAATAAAAACCAAGAATTTCACACATTACACTGTCAAAATGTATAGCCCATTGTGACTAATGAGGTATAGGAGCAGTGATAATGAGATGCTTATGTCATTCACAGACTGATATAGTCAGGTTGGTAAGAGAGGACAATTAGTTCAATTTTGATTCTCAGACCCCAGAATTTGATTCTCAGACCCAGAACGCCCACTTATAGATGTAAGGATAGTTAGAAATGCAGTTTGGAGCAAATGCAAGGATGATACAGCTTTGTAGATCAACAGCATTTAGGCGAGACTAAAACTGTGGATGTAAATGAGAGGAAGAGTATATGGCAAGAAGAGAAGTGGGCCTAGATGAATTTTGGCTGATAACTACATTTAAAGGTAAGCAACAAGAGTTATGAAGGAGATGAGAAATAGTGGTCTGAAAGTGAGGCTAAGAACTCAGATATAATATTGCAGTAAGAAAGTTAGGAAGAGGAGGGTCGTCAAACAGGAAAAGGGTTAGAATGAAGACCAAGAAGAGACTATTAAATATAGCAAATAAACAAGCAATGAAAGACCCTTGAGAAAGTAATTTTTTAATAAAATGATGTAAGAAAAAGCTAGATTACAAAAGGTTGAAAGGCTAAATGATCTTTATATTACAGGTCATTTTGACTTAAATATCTTTTGATACCCTCTAAACCAGTCACATAATTTAAAGTTTTTTAGTAGCCATATTACAAAAAGTAAAATGAAAAAGGTAAAACTAACTTTAATATACTTATTTAACTAAAAAGATCTAAAATATTATCCCTTTGACATGCAATTAAAATGGAATATTATTGATATATTTAACTTTTTTTCATACTGCGTCTTTGAAATCTAGTGTGAATATCACACTTGGAGCACATCTCAGTTCAGATAAGCCACATTTCAAGTGCTCAGCAGCCACATGTGGCTAGTGGTGCTGGATTGAAGAGTCAGCTATAAACTCTTTAAAAAGAAAAAAAAAAAAAAAGATCTAAATAATATACCAGGAAATGATCTGAGAATTCTCAGCATCTCTTACACAATGTCCTAATTTATTACCACTATGCAATTATGAAATTATACTTCATTTGGAAAACACATTCATAAAAATAAATAAGACTTTTCTTTATAGTGAAAACAATAATACCGTGGCTCAGTGTAATCTACAATTTTGTACAAAAACCTGTTTTGTTTTTGTTTTAAATCATAGAGAGTTGGACTACAGTAAAAACTTAAAACTGAACCAAAACTAAAAACAAATTACTGTGATTATAGAAATTTGGACTTTGGAGGCATGCTAATTTGTTACAAATATCCAAACCAGATAAAGCACATACCCCTGCTCCCCACTCCCCCTCAAAAAAATCAAGAATGCTCAATCAGTCAGTGTCAGAATCAATTTCTCTTTTAAATAATAAAATAACTAGAGGCTTTAGTAATATAAACTTCATTACACATTCTCTTTGTTAATTATGTTCTAGCTATTTATTCTGATAAAAGCAAAACAAAACAAAAAATTCCTATGTAGTACC